CCACCTTTCACCAGCCTGAAATTCAAGAGGATTTTTAAAAAAAATGTAAACAACCTGAGCTGCTAAGATGGCCTGATGACTGGTTCCAGCTCTGCTCTCACTTGGGATTGCTGACTGTCTCAATACACAGAGCCATGAGTAAATATTGGTTCAAACACAGATAGCTTATGGGCAAAAAGCACACGGCTGCATGCAGCTCAAATAAACAGGCTGGCAAAAGTGACTGCTACTGGGGATGGGCCTCCCCTGTCCCTCCTGCAGCACCCTGAGGGTTGCCCTGGCTGTTAGCACAGCTCTGGGTGAGCTCTGGTCAGTGATTTTGCTAAGTGCTGAATCCACAGGGATTATACCCAAAATAAAGCGGTGTGCAGCACAAATATACAGCTGGAAGACATCCCAAATTGCCAATTCTGCTGGTCAGAGGCTGTTCTCAGGCTTGTTCTCAGCTACAGCAAAGGGGTGAACTGGTTCCCCTACTCGCAACTCTCTAAAGGACGAGAGTGGGATATAACTTATTGCAGGCTAAATAACCTTCCCTGCCCTCAAGGCTCGTTCATTTTATTTATGGGAAAATATGCTCATTAATGCTCTTATCACAGGAATGATCTAATCAGGGGGGAAAAGTCTCCTTTGAATATATCCATTTTAATGAGCTGCTGGGCGAAATGTTTAGGCAGGCAAAACTGACTCTGAACTCGTTTCTGACAGAGCAGATTCTGCACAGGTTTTAACGCTCATTCCGCTGGCATCTGTTTGTTTTGATAACATTTCCAAATGAAATTACGAGTTACAAAAGCTGAGCTGTACTGTGCACTTCCTTGTCCCTAAGGTTGACTGATATAAGCACAATAGGAACTGAAGGAAAATAAGCCATGCCGTCCAGCTCGCCTTCCCAACACACAGGCTGTGAAAGTGGCCCATCCTGCAAAGAAACATCAGATTGTGCTGAACTCTTCTGTAAGAGAAAAGTGAAGCTAAGCAAAAAATAAATGAATAAATTCACCACACAAAGGCTCCAGCAAGCAAGCAAGGGAAAGGGGTCAGCAGAGGAAGAAAATGCTCACGAAAGAATTCCAGAAAGCCGCTGCACACCAAAATGCTGATTACATGCGATTGCAGGGGGGCTCATTTTCTCAGGACCCGGCTCCGCGAGGTGCTGTGCACCCCACCGCTCTCTCCCATGCTAACGGGAAGGAAAGTGCTCGATCTCCTCTCCAAGTCGAACTCCCCTCTGTGGCACTGCAGCCTTCGCAAGAACCGGACCTTAACCACCTCTCGCTAACTGAGGGGGAGCGGAGGGAGAGGAGGGGATGGAGATGTTAGCTGCATCTGGCCCAATGTAAACGAAACAGAAAATGGATTGTGGAAGGGAGGATGTTGCAATGTCTTCCACTTTATTGTTTTGTAACTACCTCTGAATTCCTCGTGACCATTTGTTCATAACTGGCAGCAACACCCAGAGAAAAATCAATAAAAAAATCAAGCTTGTGGAACATTATTCTTAAATTACAGACCATAACAACAAACTGCTCAAGCACACTTCTTTCCCCAGAAATGTTAAGGTGCCATCCTCTGACCATATCTTGTGTCTCTTGCTGTTGGCTAACCCACTCTCTAGCTGACTATATTTCCTGTTCTCACTTCCAACTTTTCCCCTTACCCCCACATTATTTTTATATGGAAACTGAACAGCAATGCCTGCTAAGTTTGATCCTGCAACCTTAAAGAAAACAACTCAGCACTTATCAGGTGACCAGCAATATGTTGGATTACACCCCTAAATCAGATAACGAGACTTTAAAGCATTTTAAGCATCTGTTACCTCATCTGCATTCAATACATAGTCCTCTTCATACCAGCTGTTTTTAAGTGAGAAAGCAGAGATCCAACGTTTCTTTGGTAAGAAGTACAGACATTTGTTGGCCTGACACACTAGTGACTGCTTTCTTCTAGTTCAATATCTCACAAAGATCTTGGAAAATAAATTCTTCCCTGTGCTGGTAAACATCTAAGCATTCCGGCTTAATTTGGCAGTGGCATGCAGAGTCTCCTTCCAGCACAAGTGGGTCTGCAGAAAACCTGACCTTCAAATCAAATCATTCTCGCACGGATGACAATGAAAATGAGGAGAGTTTTCCAGCTAGAAAAAGTGTTCTAATTACATGTCCCACAAAGATCAGAATAGATTCTAACACACCAAATAGTGTTTTTAGTGGGGGAGTATTTAAAATTAGATAACTGGTAGTTAACTGTTACCTGTAAGGAAATGAACCAGAAGTTCTAAGGATGGAGATGGGCAGACTTAAAGAGCCCTGCTTTATAAGACTTACAAACTATAGGTCTTACAAAGTTTAAAAATAACACTGTCCAGTGTTTCGATAAAGACCTCGCAAGATTTTGCTGTACTTCGTCTCCACACAGAGCTGACCAAGATGAACATTTAAATTATTCTGGGATTAACACTGGCTAAATTACAGGGCAGAGAAGTCATCACACACAATGATTTCTGTGAAAACATGTCATGATGGACATCTCTGTGTCAGTTTCTGTCCTGTTTTGGTGCTTGGCTACATCTCTAGATGACTCTTAAAAATGTAAGAACAAGTAAAGTCTTTCTGGAGTGGAAATAGAGAGAAAAGGCTATTGGAACCACTTGATGTTATAGTCTGGCTCGATTTATTAATTTTTTTTTTTTTTACCATTTTTGGGGAGTTACCAAGTGTGTAATGCTATGTAAGGACTGCACATGCTTTAAGACAGAGCTCATGTTTTTCTTTCTGTTGTACTTCCCTAGTCAGCAAATCAGACATAGATTAATTCCCATGATGCTGCTAAATGTCATAAACGTCTGTTTCCACATTCAAGAAGATCTATGACAGCGTGATGCAGCTAAGCTGAAAATATATGGGGGTTTCTGCTACATGTCAAATATCTTTTTTTTTTTTCCATTCACCTTCACTGGAGCTTTGTTACTCCTCTAGAACATGGACGCAGGAGCTGCTTCAACGAAGTCTGCAGCAGCCCACTCTCCAATAGCCTCCTCAGTGGCAGAAAAACACACAAAAGCACCAATATTTGCAGCCATGTTGTTTAGTTATGTTTTAATCACCTAAACAACAGAACAGTTTATCTTTCCTTCTCTAAATAAAACATGTGATACAACTATGATATCAATGTGCAGGATTTGAGAACGAGCAAGTCTTACGAGTGTGTTGGGTCCTGTACATCTTTCACTAGTTTCGTGTCATCTGATCACTAACATTTGCAAACCTGAAAGCAGATAATGAAGAGGAAAGACATTCAGTTACTCACCCGGCCCATTTCTTGCTCTAACATCTGTTTACATCAGCTACCAGTTTTGAATTCCACTTTAACTTATTCCTGTGCTGCTTCTTCCAATCCAGTATCTTTCAGAAAGTAAAAACTATAAAAGCTTGACAAAGAATCATTAACTGGTGATTTTGACTAATGTTTGAGACCTCTTTTGTTAAAAGAGGCTGAAAAGCATGCTGAAACAAGCTAAAAAAGGAAATTCTAGAAAATGAAACTCTCTGGCTTTCCTCAACCTGAAACAATTTCAGCTTAGATTCCTAATGTGGGGTTCAGTTGTGTTGCTTCTTCTGTACTTTCTCCATTAACACGTCTGGTTATTGAGTAACTCAGACTGTACAAGATATTTTCCCAGGTTGTTCCCTACAGCCTAATTGCTATGACCTGCTTGTGTAAGAACACAGAACAAGTGGGACTCGCTGCATGCTCTCCTCTGAGGAGTTCAGTAAGCAGTTCAGGAGAGAATTGATCTAAGCTCCCTGCTGCATCTCCTGCTTTGGGGACTACACTGGTCCTTTGAAACATATATTTTTTGGAGATGGGAAGGCTGTGGTAGTTGAGAGCCAGCAGAATGAGGGGGCCTTTGATAGTGTACTTGTGGACACCAGCATAGGACTTGGGATGAACTAGAGCCTCAGGACTTAGGTGGATGAGATTCTCTATTTGCAATTGTCCATCTTGCCTCTGTGTGGAAAGTTACTGTGCCACAGCAGACTTGGAAGTAGGAATGGATGCCCACACATCAGCTGTGTGGGTTCACTGCTCAGTGTATTAGATAATACCAGGGACTGAGATGGGCTTGGACTACAGTACCAAACTAGGAATGCAGCTGGAGCAACTGAGACACTGACACACAGTTACTTCTGCCTACTCTGCTGCCATGGGTAGGGTAATCATGGTAAACCAGTGGTAAAAAAACAGCTGGAGATGGCAACATCTCAAACTGCCTCAGCTGGTAATCCTGAAATCGTGAGTCAGAGGCTTCTCTGTAAAGATTTATGAATCACTGTCACTGCTAAACTGGAAGTCAAGCTATCTCAGCAAAACTGCAGCTGGAACTAATCCCACATGATATTTAACGCACAAAACCAGAACAAGTTGATTGGGCTTTTTGCAGGCTACAGAGCACCACAGTGCAACCCAGGTCACTCAACTGTAAAATGGAATGATGGCCCATTGAGATGACAGGTATCCACAGGGCAAAACTGTTTCCAGTGGCACAGTAAAGAGGAAAGCAGCTGCAAAGATGATGTCCCCTGACACTGCCATTATAAGGAATTACAGTTGGATTACTACATAAATAACAAATGCTGTTATTAGAAATAATGAAGCCTATCACAAAACGCTAAGGCAGTCCATCCATCGACCAGTATGTTCATTCCCCCATCAGGAAAACCGTTCTAAACCAACATACAAAACATGAATTGCTAAATCTTCTCTGATGTGTTTCATTTGGTCTGGATATTCCTGAATTGCAGCTATCCCATTGTTTCAAGTTGGTCTCTGGGTAATGCATTAAACGGCAGTCAGCTTCCCCTTCATAAATCAACAGCCAAATCTAGAGAGCGAGGTGAAAGCAAGCACTAATGTCTCGGTTATGTTGTGTTCTGGGAGCTAAGTGCAGATACCTGCAGCAGGAAAAGGATTTTTCTTTCATACCTCTTACTTACCATGACTCCCAGACTAGTCACTGGCTGCTGGCCAGGCTAGGCTTCTCATCTAATCTGTAGGAGAACAGACAGTGTTTTCTTTTGGCAATGCACTTTGTTCCATCATAGTCAATCAGAGCAGTTTCAGGACACAGAAGGTGGGTGGGGATTTAGACATTTATCCTCGTGCAAAGTGGAACCAATCAATGGACTATCCATGTGCTCAGAGCTCCTGGATGGGAATATTTTAAAGCAAATAAAAATAAGCAAGATAGTAAGAAACCTAAAAAATAAAAAGTGCCCAAATGCCGCTATGGTACCTGAAGGCAATAAAATAGGCATGTCATAGCCCGAGTTCAATTAAGAAAAGAGAAATACAGCCACCTACAATTTTTTTTTTTTAAAAAGCATGATTTTGAAAATCATTACAATGTATCCTTAGTAGTTTTCCTTGGCTCTATAAACACCTTTTCCACCTAATTTACAAGGCATACCTGACTCAGCATCATTTAAACCATTATTTTGAGCTTTCTTTCCATATAGGATAGGATCCACTGTTTAGGATGTGCCCTGACTTCTGTGATGTGCTTCTGACTTGGTTTTCAGGCTGAAATGTTCAGAAATGGCTGAGTCAAAGATCTCCTGTCATGGAAATTATAACCTATTTACCTTTTGTACACATCTGCTGCTTTTAAGATGGATTTTGAAGATCGACCCCCACCCCCAACAGGATGAATCTGTGTTTTCATCAATATTGTCCAAAAGAGAAGTGGGGTGTCTGATTTTCAAATTCACATCCTTTCCTCCAGACTTTATTCTTGCCGTGGGGCTGCAGAAAGACCCAACCGTATCGCCAAGCCTCGGCTTTCCAAAATCCTTGCGGGAGATGAAAAGCAGAGCGCTAGGCGTTACGGGCTTCTTGTTTTGGGGGTGGGGATGCAGACCAACTTCTGCTATGTAAATAACCAGGATTTATTCACTTCCTCATGAAGGTGCAGCACAAAGCCTTTTTCCGTCTAAAAGATTACCACTAACCATTGCCCGTTCCCCACACAACCGAAGGTATAAATTACGGCACCGGCCAGCACAACACACAGGCCGGAGGGAAACTGGGAGACGTTGCAACTGGAGCACGGCCACAGGCCAGAACGCGCACCCCAAAAGCGGGTCACAACTTCAGCCCGTCCTTTTAGGGACCCCCTCCAGTACTCGGGGAATTTTCTTCTTATTTTTTTAATTCAAGTTTCTCTCAGGATCGAGCCGACAAACGCTTACGCGCGGCAGATCGGAGGAGGACGATGCCCTCCGGGCCCACTGCTCCCCACAGAAGACCCCGCTGCCGCCCCTCTGCTGCCTCCACCAGCGAGCGGGCAGCCCCGGGGCTGTAAAGCCCGGCCGTACGGAGACCCCGACCCTCCTTCCCCAGCCGCGGCCCGGGGACCCCCCGCCGTCCCTCACGCCCACCGGCTCGGTCCGGACAGCGGGGCGGCAGCTCCCCACCGCCGCCCCGCTCCTCCCCCCGCCGGCGCATGCGCCAGGCCGGGCCTGGCCCCTCCCCTCCCCCGCAGTTTACCTCAGCCAGTCGCGGGGCGGGGGGGGGGCGGACGCGGGACTCGAACCGGCGCCTCTGAGGGGAGGGAGGGCTGGGGCGCCGCGCTGAAGCCTCCCGGCCGAACCCAGCCACACTCCGCCCACCCCGGCGGGCGTAGCCAATCAGAGACCGCTATTCCCCCCCTTCTCCGGCCAGGCGCCCTTCTAGCCAATGCTGAACCCCCTCGCGCTGCCAGCCAATAGGAAAAGAGCTTGCTCTTCCGCCCCCCGCTCTCCCTTCAGCCAATGCGAAGCGAGACTTTCTAAGGGACAATCGGGCCGTTCACCGGACGGGAGCCCTTTCCCGATCGGGGGCGTGGCCCGCTCCGTGGGGCGTTGCCGCGGCGGGAGGCGTGGCCTCGGAAGGGTATATAAGGACCCGCTGCGGCGGTGCTGCCATTTTGTGTAGCAGCGCCTGGAGAGCGGCCGGCGGGAGGCGGCGGAGGGTTTCGGGGTTCGGACCAGAGCGGCCGGATGGTGAAATCCTCCCTGCAGCGGATACTCAACAGTCACTGCTTCGCTAGAGAGAAAGAGGGGAATAAAAGCACCATCATGCCCGCTGTGCTGAGCCTCAGTACCGGACAGAGCAGGTGAGGGGCCAGGGCCTCCCTCAGCCTTCGCACCGCTGGGCGCTCGCCGCCTCCTCCTTTCCCCTCAGGGCCCGCCCTGATCCTCCTCGTCCTTCGAGCGCCGGTCGCCTCCCCCGTGACCGGGGGGGAGGGGAGGGGTGCTCCGTGGCGGGTGGGA